AACTTTTCACTTTTCACGTTCCGCCCTAGGGAAAAAGTTACATGATCGACCCCCAGAACTTCCGAGATAGCTGTATAGATGAGATCCCTGCGTAAACGAATGACGAACTGCACTGCAGTTTACTTTCGCAGACGGAATAAACGAACGACATCTGCGATAGTGACTGTATAAACGAATGCACCCATAGATTGCGTTCCGTTTCACGCATAGCACGCATCATTCGCATAATCAATGCTTAGCGCATTGGCTGCGTTTCATTTCATTATGCGCACGATGTACATTTTGAAACGGAACGATGTTAGAAGTGTGAAATCAAGATGGATTCCACAATAATAAACTGTGCTGTCGGTGTGACAATGTTTTTAATTAATGATGTTAATGAAAGTGACAGTAGTGAATCATCCATTTGGAGTTCTGATGATTATTATAGTGACGAAGAATATGAGAACAATTTGAGCATCAATGATTTAGAAATTTTATATTCGGTTTTAATGGTGAATGAAACTCGTGGAGAAATTTTTAAATAACAATTTTTAAAGAAAAAAATAACAGATTTTGTTGAAAGAGTCATCCCTGGATACACAAGGCGCGTATTCAAAGAACATTTTCGGTGAAAATGAATGTTTACATACATATTTTTTATTCAACCTGACTTATGTTTTAAAATATTTATAAATCGTTTGTACATAGTACTTATTTTCTATATTCAATTTTATTTATCAATTTAAAGCAATGCCAAGAAATTATAGTAATTTTATATCTTGCAAAATGTTTCCAGAAACATTTGAAGTAGTGTTACAATTAATTGGACCAGGACTAAGAGCCATAAATATATTGCCTGGAAGAAAATTTTCTGCCTATTTCTGCCGAAAAGCAACTTCTTATTGCAATTTGGTTCATGTCTACTCCTGATTCTTATAGGTATGATCTCATACATAAAATATTATATTAATTATATTAAAATATTATATTAATATAAATTTAAAGAAAGAAAACAAAAAATTATTAGTAATTAATAATTAATAGTAAATTAAATTAAAACCAATGTTTAATGTTTAAACATACATGATAGAAGATAGAAAAATTATTAATTATTTCATAATAATATTTTATTTATATTATTGTCTTCAGGTCTGAAGACAATAATATAATCATCGACGAAATTTGGAATTGGAAAAAGCAACTGCATTCAGAGAATTAAGATGAGTAACGTATGCTCTACATGTATTGTATTGCTCCTCAGTTTATTCAGTGGCCCAAAGATGCAGTTGCCACAAAAATAATAAGGGAATTTGAACAAGTTTGTGATTTTCCAAACGTGATAGGTATTATTGATGGAACTCATATTAAAATTCGTGCTCCAAAAGAAGATCCAGACTCGTACATAAATAGGAAAGGTTTTCATTCAATTAATGTACAAGTTGTCTGTGAGTCGCGTGGACTATTCACACATTGTTATACTGGGCATGTAGGATCTGTGCATGATGCAAGAGTTTTTCGGAACTCACTAGTGGCAGATTTTCTTCAATTATCTCAAATATATTTTTTTAATAATTCTCATATTATTAGAGATGCTGCATATGGTATCCATCCACATGTTATGGTACTTTTAGAGATAATGGTCATCTGATAAATGCGCAAAAAAATTTTAACTATTGTTTGTCATCTGAGAATGGTAATTGAACGGGCAATAGGTCATCTGAAAGTTCGTTTTAGGATTCTCTTAGACTGTTTACCTTTAACAGATGTTAGAAAAATTCCAGAATTTATTTTTATTTTGGCTTGTTGTGTATTACATACATTTGTATTTTGCAAAACGATATAATTGAACTGATAGGTATAGAAATGAAGACGAAATAATACCTGTTTTACATGATAATGCAGTTGAATTAGGAAATGCTAAAAGAAATATAATTATGAATGCTTTACCAAGGAAAATATAACATTAAAATATATGTAATACTGAACAACATGTGTGTATAAAAATAAAAATATATTTAAGTAATAATTAAGTAAAAAACAAATTAAACGTTTGTTTTTGTTCAGTTATTTTATTCTGAATCCATATATCTTTGGCCATTTTAAAATTATAATTCGCGTATTGAAGTTATTACTATATAAGTATAAAATTATAAATGAACGCCAAGTTTTAACTTAGTAATTAAAACATAAAACTTAAATTCATTTTCAAAATATTCGTAATATAAAACTAAAAATAATATAAAAACAAAATAACATAAGCTAAATATTATTTTAATGTAAATATTTAAAATATTAAATACATATAGGATGATATCATTGATTTCAAAAATATTTTCTTCGTAAAGGAGTATAACTAAAAATATTATAGTTTTTACTAATTAATTAATATCACTTCTTACATTAATATCACTTATTAGATTAATATCGCTTATTACATTAATATCATTTATACATATTGTCGATAGATCACAGACTTGTTACAAACTAGCTATCACATAAAAAATAGAATGTAGGGCATATCACCGAAACAATGCCATTACGGAAATTATAGGACTATTTCTTTTTGCTATAGATAAATATAGAGGTGTCAAAATTATTTTTGCTTTTCAATTAAAAGTTTCATAATTTCAATCAATGATTTTTGTATCTCCATTTTCTCTTCATGAATTTTTCTTTGTTTTTCTTTACGCTCGATATACCGCTGTGCTTTTAATTTCTCACATTCTTTCCTCTCTTCTTCTCTTTTGGTCATTGCTGTGTCCTATCTTGTCTTATATCATCAATGAAATTCTTCAGGACAGTCTCAACTCTTCGCTTTTTGCTTGGATCTAAAATAGAAATTAATTATTAAAGCATGCAGACAAAGACAAAGAATGTATAAAGAATTGAAATCTTATTGCTTTATTATTACTAGATGGCAATGAAGGTGATTCTGTCACATTTGTTGGCTTAACTGGACCTTCGCTTGATGCAATCGTAGGTGGCATCACAAAAGTCTTTTTCCCAAAAATTGAGTTCATCGCCTTCAAAATTATAATTATGTAAAAGCATTTATTTAAATTATATAAATCAATTATGTAAAAAATTATTTATAAAATTCAAATAGATTACATATAAAATTAACAGTATCAAATTTGTATTTCATTTTCTAATACATTATTTACAGAAATAAGAAACCGATTTACCGAATAAAAGGCCCATGTATTCCGACAATTTTCACTCTTTTTATTTTGTTCGCTTATGTTTTTAAATGTCCTTTTAAGACCAGACATCTTTACAGAGCATTGCAACCCAGTTACAACATATTTTCCGTTGGAATTTTCTCTTATTTTTTCTGCTAATTCAGCCCAAATAGTACATTCATTTCTTTTAGATCCCGAATTGAAGTCGGATTCTTTCTCCCGATACAATTCTAATAGTAAATATACTGCAGCATTAGACCATACGTCCTTTTGTATTCGTCGAACAATCATTTTCTTCGGAATCAACATTTTCAGATAATGCTGATGAAGGCTGACTAATTTCTAAAGAACTTGAGAAGTCAATAGAATTATTCTGCTTACTGATTTCTCTGTTTACAAGCGATTGCAGCAACTTTTAATCTGTAACAACAGTATTCCTAATATAATTTATATTTACAGCCAATAATTGAATAAATAGAAAAATATAGTCCCTTTAAAAATACTTTTGGAAGTAGTGGAAATATTAATTCAAAAACCGAAAAATAACCCAATTGAGTATTTTCACTACTGTCAAAAAGTTTTTTCCATAAGAAATGATCTACTTGTATTTGTTGTAATCTATATAACCTTCAAATATATTCGACTAAATGTTACTTGTTTGAACTTTATTAATTATTTCCTAAAAGTAAGAAATAATGTGATGACGCTCTTCAATGAAGACTGGGAACTCTAATAATGTCTCTTCCATATCTTCACACTGACACTTTTATGTAAAACTAGAATTCAACACTTTTCACAATGCCATATGCAATTACACAATCGCATAGAACGCATAAGCTGCTACAGCTTGAACTTGAGGTAGCTGATGCGTGCATTATGCGCTGCAGGTGGTGGGAATCTAGGGGATTCTAAGCGCTGTTTATGCGCAAATTGAATGAAACGTTTTTTATGTCATTCGTGCGCATAATGCGCGAAACGGAACGCAACCATAGTGTCTCTAGCTCGCGCATGTGCAGTTCAATTTCATATATGCCAACATCAAAGGTGCCGATAGCGAGTTGCGCTACTCTATATACTGTAGTACAGGTCAATAATAAAAAAACAAATCTATTATATTTCAATGCAGAAGCAGTCGAAATAGTTGATTGCCTGGAGTCAATATAACTTTTAATTTTGCTCAATTGATCACTGATATACACGTATTGATATACATTACATATCTGAAAACTTATTGTTATACATTTTATGTTTCTACAAATATTCCATTACACATAACCAAAATTGTTCACCTATAATTATGCAACCGTACAACTTTATTGTTTAGATTTTCTTTAATAACAAGAGTAATAATTGGCACAATTAACGTCGCTGGCCTCTTTTTCTTTTTCTCACGCATCACAGCGCATCCGCAGAAATATTATTTCGAACAAAGTGTATATATGTGCGCTTGTCCACATTTATTGAATTTTTGCGTAGACAATTTTTTTTTATTACGAAAATACCATATTTAAAATGAATCATCTTATGAAAATCTTAAAAAGCAAAGAAACTCGCGACTATTTTATGAGGTAAGTAATGATTATTCATTAACATTTGTTTATTTATTATTAATATTGTTATTACTTATATGGTATATTGTTATTATTTATATTCTGACAATGCACGTTTTCAATGTTCACACATTAGATACAGATCCCATCTGTAAATAATATTTTTTTCTAGCACGCACTTTTGGGGACCTGTTGCCAATTGGGCAATACCAATTGCTGCTATTTCTGATATCCAGAGAGATCCCAAGTATATCAGTGGTAAAATGACTTTTGGTTAGTTTAATGATTCTTACTAAACATTCTTATATACTATCTTTTGTTTTAAACAAACTTTAAAGTATTTTTTGAAAATGTTGTTTATGCCTCTTTTTTGTTACCTTTTCTATAACTTATTAATGATTTTTATTTGTTTATAGCTTTTGAATTTTAGCTTTTGATTATACGATTATATTTATAGTCTGTTTTTTTTGAGATTGTTTTAAATGTCTTAAGATGCTAAGATTTAGTATGATTAGTTTATGTTAGTATATTTAAGACAGTTTTAAATATAAAATCTAATAATAAAAACTGACCAGATGGTTGATTTGTTGTAACTATTATTACATATGGAACTATTTTTTATTAATTTGCATTTATATTTAGTTTACATTCATTATAAGATTCATAATAATTTAATAAAAAATTAGAAAACTATTAATGATCTATATTTTTATGTATTTAAACTATATTTTATCTGGAATAAATATACAGGATAATGATAATCAAGTCAGGTCAATAAATTGCACGAATTAAGATTATATTCTTATTTTTTATGACATTTGTTTTTTATTATTTCTATAAACAAATAAAAATTTTATAATTAATAAAAAGAAATAAATTATTAAATTATTATCTTTCTTTTATTTATATAAATAAAAAAAGAAATATTTTTATTAGAAGTCTAAATAGTGATTTAGATTGGATCATGATTTGAGAACAACTGATCATTTATATTATAGTTAAGATATAATTCAATATATTCTTAATATTACATAATTATATTGTTTGTTTAATTTTTTAATTTATTTGTTTTGTTCAATGGTACAATAGAAAATAAATGTTTATTATGAATATTTATTTACTTTATATTATTGTAGGATTGATAAAAATTATAAGAATTATAGGAATTTCTATAACTTTATCCTTTATTGGTCTAGTTGAAAAATTTTATGTTAATTTTTCAGCCTTATGTTTATACTCAGCAATGTTCATGAGATTTGCAATCAAGGTGCAGCCACGCAACATGCTTCTATTTGCCTGCCATTTTGTCAATGAAGGTGCACAAATTACACAAGGTTATAGATTTATTAAGCATCATTATTTTAGTAAAAGGGAACAGTGATTCATAAAAGGTACATAACGTTCACTTTGCCAAAGTAATAGAATTTTAATGAAATATTATGTAATAGGATATTAATGAAAGATTATGTTTTATATACATCTATATATATATATATATATATATATATATATGAATATATATATATGATCAATGTGATCATAATATATATATATGAATATATACTCATATTCATATAAATATGAATATATATGAATATATATATTTGTATATAAATATATATATAAAATTATCATATTAAATAATAAATCTTGTCTTTATTTATGACATTCAAATAATTTTATCATTAGTTTTACATTCTTATTATTTTCCTTATTTGGTTTGAACAGCACCAACTATTTTTACATAAAACTTTTTTTATTTAAATAAAATTTTATCATTTATTTTGTACTGTTACTTCTTAATTCTTTGTGATAAAAACGTAAGTTGAGTAAAGCAATTTTGTAATATAATAATATTTTAAAGCTAAATAATTACTACTTGAGTTAGAAAAAGAAGTCTTGAATGGACAGAAAGATGTACATATAATTTGATTATTATTTTTAAATTAAAGATATCACTTGGGTTTTATTTTTTTTTAAATAGTGGTTATCAAATCTTTTATACAATCGAAATACATAATTTGATTAAAGGCCATATCAGACTAGCGGTTGCTCGGCTAAGGTTATCGGTTGACGATTCTACTATTATCAATCACATTGATCATAATCAGGATCTGCTACATTGTGATTGGCTGAAATAGAATCGTCAACCGGCAGCCGCTCAATCGCTAGTCTGATATGGCCTTGTAGTGGATTTGTAGCTCTTTGAGTATATAGACATGGAGGGGCAATATTGGCACCGAAAGTGTGTCCAAAGTATGTGCGAGAGAGAAAGATATACGAGTAATACGGGTGACACTCGTTTGACCACGTCCCGATTGATCACTAATCACTTACAGGGACCGGTGTCTTTTCCAAGCGCTGTTCAAGCGCTATGAGTGGCTAGTGATCAATCGGGATGTGGTCAAATGGGTGTCATCCGAGTAATACTAGTCCTTTCTGCGCATGCGTCGAAATTGACAGATACTATAGACAATATATAGTGTGATGTGAAGAACAATAGGTGACAAGAACTGTCATAAATGATATTATATAGGGATATAATAGTGAAATGTTAAATAAGTATTAACATATACCATTATAACACAAGAAAATAATTTTTATTGATAATTTTAATTTTAATAATTTTTATTGTTTAAAATGAATCAATTTTGTAAACTTAATATAATTTTTGTGTATTGAATTGGTAGCGCACTTTGCCTCATGGAATAAATTAACATAAATTACAATTATATATGCTTTTAATAAGTTTCGTTTTATGATTGTCAAACACATCTTGCTGCAAAATGTGTTCTGTCATTAAACATTGAATGACAAACATCGTTAAACACTTTCATAGTCACAATTGGCTTAATATTTTTTCTAGTGCAAATTATATTATATTGTTATTTATATTATATTATATAATTATTATTATTATTATACAATTATATTATATAATTTGATCGAATAACTGCTTCGAGAGGGAGCGTCCCGTTTGACTACGTTGCGATTGACCACAGCCATTCACAACGGCCGGTGCCTAGAAGTTTTCTTCTGTTCAAACGCTATGAGTAGTCTATTGCAACATGAGGCCCACCCGTTTGAATCTTATAGTGTCAGTGTGTGTATGGCCATTAATTTCTGTAAAAATGTTAGTATCTTGTTGCATCAAAAAATGTTGTAATAAAAAAAAGATGGTATTAGTCTATTTAAGTAATTTTTACATTTATAATAAACATATATATGTTTTATGAAACATAAATAGTAATTAATGCAATTTTAGATTATGATGAAAACGAAATTTTTAATATTTTAGATTTTCACTTAAAAGAGAAGACTATTTGAAAAAAATGGCTTCAAAATATTGAAATTTTTCCTTTTAATAAAAGACAGCCTTACGCATATTCTAAAAAGAGATATATATAATAAAGTTGTAACTAGAGTAACAAGAAAATTTGTATTAAATACAAATGTATTTCTAGTATTTCTAGTATTAGCAATGAATCTCGGAACGCAGCCAAAGACAAACGAACAATGTTGATGTCTATGGATATAATGGAACGTCATCCTGAAGAAATTAAATTCATAAAGGCTGCATTCCGATATTCACTGCCAGTACTGAAAATATATAGTTTAGGTCACGTATATTATAGAGTTTCGATACTGACAGTGAATATCGGAACGCAGCCGAATTGTTCGGTTGGGCGTGTTTCTCTGGCACTGATTAAGACTATTTCATCTAAGGTAAGAAGAATCAAAAATCAATTCTTTCTTTTACAAATGTATAATTATGTTAAAATCTATATGTAATAAAACAATTCTAATCTATAGAAAAACATTATAACAAATTTTTTTTACGAACTCTAGTTACGAACACGAGAAAAAACGAAACACAGTGAAAGAAGAAAGGCTAAAATACACACTGAATTATATTAAAAGCCTTTAATGGCAACTATGATCGGAATTGACCGAAAAAAATAGACAGTGTTTATATATACATTTTTCGGGAGCAGCTATTAAATTCTCCAAACAATGATCATTATCTGCTGGTTATATTGCCTATTAGGCATTGTAGTTGGTCAGTATGAATGGCAAACTCGTGATTCTTTTGATGAAATCCGCATGCGGATGGATAAAGTGAACGAAGATAATTGTCCAATACAGCATCTTGGCGATCTATATTTGCCAGATGATACAATATCGCATTTACCTGATATAAAAGACATCAATATCAATCCAGTATTTCCAAATCGTACAGCTTTGCTACATCTTCACAACATGGCACTCAGCAGGAGTTTTTTTTGGAGTTATATTTTGCAGTCACGCTTTATTCGACCGGCAATCAATGATACTTATGATCCAGGCATGATGTATTACTTCCTCTCTACAGTTGCAGACGTTTCTGCCAATCCATATATCAATGCCTCAGCTATCTATTTCTCACCCAATATGTCTTATTCACCATCCTACAGAGGTTTCTTCAATAAAACTTTTCCTAGATTTGCACCACGGACTTTTAGAGCAGATGACTTCAATGATCCTATACATCTGGAGAGAATATCCACAAGAAATACCTTCACTATACAAGATTTAGGAGCGTTTCCTGTTACTAGACTTAGTGATGATTATACTACTGATTTTTATCGTATAAATGAATGGTATGTGAAAATAATAGAAATTATTGCATCCAAAAGCTTTAATAGAAATAATTGCACATATGTCTATATATAAACATACATATATGTATAAACATACGCATCCATATACAAATGTATATGTGTGTGTATGTGTGTGTGTGTGTGTAGCTTATAAATTTTTGTCTAAAATTTTTTTCTATGGTTAATATTAAAAGTATTTCTGTTTATTTATTTTTTGCAATAAATTTATTTTGTGAAATTGTAGGTACAAAAGATGGTTACCAGATAATGTAGAGAAAAGACATGACACTAAAACAACATATCAAGTTGAAATTCGTTATGCCAACAATACCAATGAAACATATACTTTTCATGGTCCACCTGGTAAAAATAAAAGAATTATAAAAACTACTCTGAAATATCAAACTTATGTTTTTATTATGGCTTTTATTTCTCATTATGATTTTATGCAGGTGCTGATGAATATCCTGGACCAGTGAAATGGACTAGACCATATTTTGATTGTGGTCGATCAAATCGGTGGCTTGTAGCTGCAATATCACCTGTAGCGGATATTTATCCACGGCACACTGGTTTCAGGCATATTGAATATCCAACATATACTGCTGTTTCAGTGATGGAAATGGACTTTGACAGAATAGATATAAATCAATGCCCCAAAGGGCGTGGGAATGATGGTCCCAATAAATTTGCTAATACTGCAAGATGCAAGACTGATACTACAGAGGTATATATTTAAATGCTGTAATATAAATAAATCGAGCTATATTTGTTAGTTAATAATTGATTTGTACATTCTTTGCAGTGCGAACCAATACATGGTTGGGGTTTCAGAAGAGGCGGGTATCAATGTAGATGTAAACCGGGTTATAGATTACCGACTGTTGTACGACGACCTTATCTCGGTGAAATACTAGAGAGAGCTACTCAAGAACAATATTATAATGGTTTTGATTGCCAACGAATTGGCTGTATGCAATTTTTTTCCTTCTTTATTTGCAATCACGGTATTTAATATTAAAAAAAAATCGCATTCTGTAGGGATTCATAAAATGCCAGTACAATGGGAGAAGGCAAAACCATATATCAGAAAAAAATATCTCGAGCAGTATCATCATTATAAGAATTATTCGACTGGTCCAGATGCGCTTCATGATATAAGGATGAACATAGACCAAGCTCTCAAATTTGTTTTGGGTATGAATTCGCACACTTGCAAAAAGTATGTCTTTTTATCACTTTGTACATTCCCTATTATTGAGATATTTCAATTTCAGTATTTTCAAATTGTGTTTTTAGTTATACATCAGAAGAATTAATGTTACGCGGAGACATTAGCTTTGGCGCAGAAGAATTCTTCGAAAACGAAGCGAAAATGGCAACCAGATTGGCAAATTTTATCAGCGCGTTCCTACAAGTATCAGATCCTTTAGAAGTTTACTCGGGTAAAAGAGTAGCCGACAGACCACTCACAGAAGACCAAATGATGGGAGAAACACTAGCTCTAGTACTTGGTGATACAAAAATATGGTCAGCTGGCACATTTTGGGATCGTAATAAATTTACTAACAGAACATTCTTTGCCCCGTTCGCTTACAAAAAACAATTAAATACGCGCAAATTTAAACTTGATGATTTGGCTAGACTAAGTGACACAGGTAAAATGAAATTATTCATATAATAAACAAATTAACTCAGAATTGGAATATATTTTTATTCAAATTTTTTAAATTTAAATTTGAGAATATGTTCCAAAATATATTCTAATATTTTATTTTTTATTTAAAATTCTAATATTTTATTCTATAAAAATATACATAAATGTTTTTTAACACTTACATTTCTAAACACTACATTTTTTAAATATTTTTAGATTTTTTTATTATGTTTTACTTTAATATAATCTTTATGATTGTAGATGAAGTATACACAAAAAAAAGTTACTTTAAAGCTTTAAAACAACGTTGGGCGACGAATTTTGATCAATTGGAAAAGTACTATATGAAGATAAAAATTCGATTTAATGAAACTGGAGAATATTTAAAAAAGTTCGAACATTATCCAAATTATTACAGGTAAAAAGTGCGCAAATTGTTAGTACAAAACTCACATGATGACAATTGTATTTTATCAATATGTTCCAAAGTAGTGATCAAATATAAAGCAATAAAATATAAAAGGATTATATAGACTTGAGTGAAGAGGGAAAGAGGGAGGGAAAAGGAGAAAAAAATCGAATCTTTAAAATACGATTTAATCTAATGTATGGAAACATGATAAATTGATTATTGTATGTAGGGCAGCAAACCTGGACCATGGACATTGGACAACTCCATATTTCGATTGTAAGGGTGAGATACAAAAATGGTTAATTACCTATGCATCCCCATTTTTCGGCTGGGATAGCTTAAAAGAGAAACTAGAATTTAAGTAAGTATTCTCATTAATGCGCGATTATGGATGCGATCAATTAAATCGTACTGAATGCTTCGATCGCTTTTGTTCTAACGTTTTTATTTCAATCCGTTTTGACTGATCAATGAATACTATCAAAGTAGCAAACGCTAATCTTGGATCAAAGTGACACTAAACAGTTCGAAACCGTTGATCGACAAATGTATGCAATATGACGGAATTCAAGACCTTTAAAAAGTCGTATAGTAAATTATAGGCAAATAATAAATATTAACTTGATAAAGATATACTTTAAAAAATTGAAAAAATTAACATAAATGACTAATTGGAAATGTTTTACAGCAATTTGAAACATTCAAAATAAATAGAAAATGGATATAAATAAAAGAAAAAAGATAATTATATTAACATGTATTAATAAATTTTTAAATTATTTTTTAAGTTATTTTTATTAAATTATTCTTAATATTACTCATTTATTTTACTAATTTATTTTTTTATGTTTTAAGGCTCGATTCTCTCGCGGCGCGATATGAGTTGTGTGACATCAGTGGCGAGAAATGACGTAAAAAGTTTCTTGCGTTGTATAGCTTTATCTTGTATTTTTCCCTTAAAAACATGATATTTTCTTAAAAACTTGTAAAAAAATATCAGAAAGTAAGATATCTGTTCAATAAATCACGTAAAAGTGTAAAATAATTCTTGAAATAATAGTCACTACTCAGCTATCAGAAACAACTAGATCTAGTGATTTGATAATTTCTGATAGCTAAGCAGTGTACCATTATTTCAAGATTTATTTTATACTTTTACGTGATTTATTGAACAAATATCTTACTTTCTGGTATTTTTTACAAGAATACGAAATCATACGATTAGTCTCGAACCGCCGCTTTCCTGTAAGCCTCCGTATTCATTGCATTAGCTCAAACTGAGGCGGTATAGAGCATAATGGAAGTAATCACAGATGACAAAAGTCGCTTGTGACTTTGCCTTTGGGCTACCTATATTCGGCACGATACGAGGTTGCGGTCACATTAATCGCTTTGTCCTCACGATGTTGTAAACGTAAAAACTCTGATCGATCATGATTTTTAAGAATTTTTAGGATGATTGCGATTGAATTTCGCCATCATTAATCGTTAGGGTTTCCTTCTGTTTTCTACTCTATCTGTACCATCTCCAATTTATCCGCAAGTTGCAGGTCAGTTGACGTCAACTAATGCCCAATAGCGATTATAGCCGTTAGTGACTTGCATCACTTTCTCCAGACGTTTCGCTACCACGGCGCTCGTAATATCATTAGCAAAGCCAACCGCCATTATACTTTCCGGTAAATAGAGTTTTGATACACCATCGTACATAATGTTCTATAATAATAGGTCTAGCATTGAATCCTGTGGCACTCCACAGGTTATCTCATAGCTCTTCATGCCATTATTCGTACAATACATCAATACTTTGTTTTTGAAGTAATCAGAGATGATTCCCCTGACGTACAATGATATGTCGAAGCATTCCAACGCCTCAAATATGTAGCTCCATCTCGTCGAGTTGAAAGCATTTTTTACGTCCAAAGTCATCACAGCGCAGTACTTTTTGGCTTCTCTCTCTCATTATTTGCCTTCAAATGCCTTACAAGTTGTGTCGATGACAAGAATTATCTGCATCTGGATCTCTTTATTGAGGTATTTATGTTTGCGGGAGGGCGTTTATCCTAGACAATAAAGAGGCAATGTCTGATTCTGTCTAAGAATAGTAGACCACAAGTAATCGCGTCATCCTATCGACTGATCTTGCTGGACACGGCTGGGAAGCTTCTCGAGAGCATCATCAGCAACAGACTGCAAGAGTGCATTAGTGGAAGGGGTGACCTGGCTAAAAACTAGTTTGGCTTTCGAAAGGCCCGCTCAACGATGAACACCGTTGTCCTTGATTTCTACCTGTACTTTGTTAGTCAGCATTCTTATTTTAGCCATTTGTCTCAAGATATTTTCCACAGATGACTTTAATTTTGATATTAGTTCAGATACATGTGCGATTCAATTGCAATAGTAGATTCAATGTAGATCACAATGTTTCTCCGGACTTTGAAAATATTTGATCCAAGCTCCTCTAGTGATGTCTCAGCTTTTATTCTCCTTAGGATATCTACATAAGACTGCTTAGCTTTAATAATTAAGGCGATTTGAGACGCGATTTCCTTCGCTTCATTTACTTTTCCATCACCTGCCCTTTCTACTGCTCCTGCGGCCTTTTCGATATCGCGGGCTCTTGAGGCGTTACTGACAAGAATGGAGATTCTGTCCTTACCTTGGGCTCTTTCCCTTTTCTTTTTTAGCACTAGATGGTGGAATCCGAATTTTCTTCTTCGGAGTAAGAGTATTCTTCATTTCCGAGTCTACTCTCAGCCTTAGTTTTGAGTTTCGCAGATACCTGCGGTATCTTCCACCTTGAAAAACACTTTATAACAGATGCTAATAGCACTTACGAGCCGCTTAATCTCGCTGTGTACGTTGCTATGAGGTTTAATTCCAGGAGCTCAGATATCTTCTTTCTAAGCTTTTCTAGCGTCTCTTTGCTGTTTCTTGTGTGTTATAATATTAGCTGTTGCAGCGACTAAACTCACTATCACCGGTACCGCACAGCAATCGTCAGATAACAACGCCCTAGAACCTGCTTACTCACTTCTTAATAAACGCTCATAAAATAATGAGGATTCGACTTCCTGCACCATAAAATTTTTCCTCGCTAGGCTACTCTCCATGTTTGGTTTATAGTCGGAGTATCCTACTGTCCGCTGCAGACGGTTGCTTATTCCTTGAATTCCTAACTTATTTCACAGCAATCTCTTATCGCAACGAATCGAGATTTCCCCCATCCGCACTCGGTAGCCAGGAAAAATGCGTGCATGCGTGCGTATTAATATTTGTACACAGGGTGTCCTGTAACATGTGTAAAGTTGCACAACTAAGAGCGCGCGAAAAAAAGCACTCGCCCACCTGATCCGTAGAACGGGATAGGAAGCGTGAGCAGTGGCTTTTATCCTTTCCCTCGCCGCGCGCACTCCGCCCATCGCCAAGCGCCGGATGGCCATTGTCGTTATACTGGGCCGCTCTATGGGCCGTCAGGCGGGCGAGCGCTTTCTCTCCGCGCGCTTTTATTGTGCAACATTTAATATTTAATATTTAATAACTCGAAAATTATTGCGAATATCGCAAAATGATATAAGACATTTTCATTTATCTCGCTCCAGTCTATCTTCTCACGAGCGATGTTATACATGCTACAGGACACCCTGTATATGTGTAGATGCTATAGAAATTTAATATAAAAACCATGTTGTTGTAATATAAAAGTCAGCTTTGAATCAGCTTTGTAATAAAAGAAAAACAACGAAGATCCATATTTAATAGTAAAATATTTACAGAGGTGTTGTAGCAGTTACCATGAATATGCTTCAAGTAGATATAAATCAATGTGATGATAAATTTTACCGACCAAATGCATTTAAAGATACACACAAATGCGATAGAAAGACATCATACGTAAGTTAATATTTTATGTATTGTATTTGAATAATGATATTAGAAATATTTATGTAATGCAAATCCAAAATATCTTAAAAATTAATAATACTCATTATGTATATCAAAATGATTTTTATCAAACTAATGTAATTTTATTTATGAATATTTATAAATAAATTTTAAACATTTAATTTTTGCAGTGTGTGCCTATTCTTGGAAGAGGATTTGAGACAGGTGGATATAAATGTGAATGTAAGCAAGGCTTTGAGTATCCATTTGAGGATTTAATTACATATTATGATGGACAATTAGTGGAAGCTGAATTTAATAATATCGTTAATGACAACAATACCAGGTATTTATTTTTATAATGGCAACCTGCCATTATCTAAAGATTATATACTTTTCTTAAAAGTATTAATTACTAATGTAATACATACATATATGTGCTTGCGCGCATATAGAGAGAGAGAGAGAGAGAGAGAGAGAGAGAGAGAGAGAGAGAGAGAGAGAGTAGGAGAGAGAGAGAGAGAGAGAGAGAGAGAGAGAGAGAGAGAGAGAGAGAGAGAGAGAGAGAGAGAGAGAGAGAGAGAGAGAGAGAGAGAGAGAGAGAGAGAG